CCAGCAGCAGGGTTCCTTTGGTCCCACCCCCCAACAGCAGCAGCAGCAGCAGCAGCAACAACAACAGCAGCAGCAACAGCAGCAACAATTACAGCAGCAACAACAACATTTGCAACAACAACATCAGAAACAGTTACAACAACAACAGAAACGGCAACTCCAGCAACAGCAACTGGCCTCTCACAGAACTGACAGTCTGTCTGAGCGCTCTGTGACGCAGCCACAGTAGTCAGCAACAGGCAGACGGAGGCAGAGCAGGACAGACCCAGGGTTTGGGCGGGGTAGTTTGTTTTTTTGTGAGGGTGGTTCTCAGAGTGTGCTGAGACCATGTCACAGCTGACTTCTCCCTCCTCACAACTCAATTTGCTGTTTGCACTGAACTCCTGGAGCTCAGAGTGATGACGTGTATCAGGACTAGACTCACTTTGGCTCTGGGTTGAAGCCTTTTTTCCAAAAACAGGGAACCATGTGAAGGACTTCTCCATCCATCTGTTCGTGTTTTAAGTGTGTGTATGTATGTATGTATGCTTGTGTATGTGTGTGTGAGTGTTTTGTTTTTGTGCACTTCAGTCACCCTCGCAGGATTATTTTATGCAGAGATCATCAGTTGGTGCACTGAGGTCTGAGCTTCAGAGACACCCTTCAGAACAGCCAAAGGCTTGTTTGTTTTTAACGGATTCTCCAGGCCGTGATTCTGTTTAAAAATAATTTGGAGTCAGAAAATATTTTTAAGAATGTGGTGTAGATTGAACTTTTGATGTAAAGAACGCGTTGTGTAATATATATATAATGTAAATATATTGAAAAAGGAAGAAATAATATTTTATATGATGCACGGGATTAAATGCATAGTCTGTTTTTACAGCTTTGAATATGTGTTTTTTCTAGAAATATGACAAAAAATGAGATCCTTTAATTCATAGTGATTGATATTTTCTCAGACTTTCTCCAATGGGATGTGTTTGTGCGTCTGCATAGCAGACTCGTTAATGTTGCTTGTCGTCTAGCACTTTGTTTATTCCATGTCTAAAGATTTCATAGAATTTCACAAGACTGTCAACAATCAGACATGTTTTGTAATGTTTTGTGCTTACATACTGTATGCACACTTAAGGCTATACATTCAGCTCAGCTCACATATTGTGAATGGAATAAATACTACCAGGTGAAGCTCCAAATGCAACATTTATTTTTTTCTTCTTGAAACTTCCGTGCATGATGATGGTGTACAACACAACTTTGTTGACGAAGTCTACTGAGAAAACATTCAAACCTTTATTTAGAACAAAACTAAATACAAAGTCCACTATGATGATAAAGACAATAGAGATAAAGAGTAGACTACACTATGTCTATATAATATAATACAATGGACAGAAGTTTAAGATAACAGAAAATATAAATATAGAAATCCAATCCAATCTCCTTGCGGACGGTGTGTGCGACTGTTGACACCTTTGGAGTTTGCTTGGTTGAAGCTCGGTGAATCACCGTCTCTACAGCTCTCTCCACCTTCTCTGTGCCCCTGTGAAAACAATCACAAGGCCAGCGTTGTGTTTCAGGGCTAGAAGGTGGTAGCTCTTCTAAAGATGACCAAGCTTGTGTGGCACACGTCGCACTATAGCTTTTGCAGATTCTGCCAGACTACAAATCCTGCCTTGTAGACCAGAGCATTTTCCACCAGACCACCAAACCGGGTGGGACAATAATTTGTGTCACACACAATGGCTGAAATGTTTCCAACAATTACATTGGACAACATTAAGACCACCTTAGTAATGTATGTGGATGTGGAAGGGGAAAATGTTGAGTCTCTCTGAGGTACTTGTATGCCTTTGGACCGTGTAGATGAAGTGTGAGGGCGAACTCTCTGTAGTCCTTTGTGTACTTATGGCCCTGCTTTGCCACGAAGTCTAACTGAAGATCTGAAATTTTATGAGCAAAAATTAAGAAATGTTCCCGATAAATAAGAAATTCAAAAAAGGGTGTAAGAATATATGTATCTGGAGTTTAAAACGCTAATTGTGTCTTACCAGAGTACAAGTCGAGCTTCAGTTTGAGCTCTTCATTAATGACGTTCTTCTCCCTCAAATCTCCCAAAAGATTCCTTACTGTGGTCTTTGCCCTCTTTTCTCTGGCCATGGAGTTCTTTTTGTCTCGTTCTAGACTTTCCACTCTTGCCAAGGCTTCACTGAGTCTGGTCTTAAGAGAGAACGGAGAAGTGGGCAAGGCGTAGCCATGATCCTGGCAGACAGAGGGATGAGCATGGTTTGAGTGATGTTTCACTTCACACATATCACTTTAACACTACTAGAGCATGGCCCACATTACTCACATCATTAGGCTGAGGTTGTGGGTGTGTGGATGAAGGGACATCCTGAGAGGCCACGGACAGCCCATCTCCAGCTCTTCTGGAGGTAGACGTAGTCCTGCGCTTTTCTGGCTAAAATAAAGAAGCGTAATACAGGCTTAATACCTCAATATAGGGTAGGGTTTCTCACCCTGCCCTGTGGTTGATAAAATAATATTTATATTCATGAATGCTAATAGCCCTATGATGATATACCTACTCTTTGGAGGTGAACTGGGAAGCTGAAGATGGATGGTATAACCTCATTTCTGAGTCGGACAATCTGACCCGTCCTATCAAAATCATCCTGCTTAAAATGTTCACTGCAAAGTACAGACGTATTACTTGCAGTGAATTCTTCCCTCTGCAAAGAAATTTCCCACTTCCTCCTCATCTCTTTGTCTTTGGGAAACCTTCAAAATGAAAACAAGAGATATGGACATCTAAACAAAAATACTTTACAAAGGAGGTAAATCTCATTTTCTTCTTCCTTCCTATTTTCTTCCCATTTCCTATTATTCCTATTTACTTCTTTGTCCTATATTCTTCTTTGAAACTTCTTGAAACCTCTTCAACAAAACTGCCATTTTGACACACATCTGTTGATAATGTACCAAAGCTGCTGAAATTGTAAGTTTGTTTGCAAATTATTCTACAGTCAGAGGTTCTGTTTTCTGTGTTTTTAGGTAAATGTGGATATGAGACATTAGAGGCATAACATTTATATAATTATTATTATTATTTTATTATTTCGTGAAAAATATTCTGTTCCACCTGTGTAAAATGTGCTGCATAATGTTATACCAGTAATATTTGATTACTACAGTAACATTCTTGTGTCAGATGTAATCTAAGTCAGTGTTATGGTATATAAATGCTAACGTTAGCTGGGTACGATTTCGCTGGTGGGCATAAATACAATACAGTAATATTTTATTTAGAAAATACAACAAATAATACAGTCCAATCTTACTTGTGAAAAGTTATTCCCCGAGCCCTGTTTTCAACAGTCCGCCGACTGAAGCAGGAATTGGCCGCACAGTGCTCAGGCATCTCGTTTCTACTACTATCTGCGGTAGGATGACCGCTCCAAGATGGCGGCCGCATTCCTTGCGCCCCAGCAACCAATGCGGGGTCCTCTCTTTATTATGTCTATGATGAAGACTGTGACAAAGTATAATGAACACTTTGGTAAACGTCTCAAAAACACACGAAAATATTAGGGCGGGACGAATGGCGGAGAGATCCAATCAGAACAAGTCACATGGCGAGCGTAAGCTGCTCAATACGGAAGCAGAGCCACAACTGAGGCACAAGAAAAGTTTCAAAAGTTTCATGCTGCACTGCAGCTTTTCCAAAGTCTTGAGGAGTCGATGTGGATGTGGTGGTTCAAGCAGTGGGTTGATCAGGACTACTGACAGAAATTTGACATTAGGGTGAGAAAATAATTGTTTTTTGTAACTGTAAACATGTTTTACTACAGTAATATTTATCTCGTCTGCATATTTTTGATCAAACGAGAAAGTAATCAAATTACTAATTGGATGAGAAACATGCAGACAAGCTTTTACAATTTCTATATTTTCACCAGACTATGAATGTTTATCAGACCTGGCTTGGTACTTATCACTATGGCAACGTTCAAGCAACCCCATTCTGCAGTACCATTTCGTTTTACCTCTGGGTAGAAGTTTAGTGGCAAGTGGTGCTGTTTCGAATTTAGAGAATGTGTACACGGCGACTATGTAAATGTGTACATACCTCTCCAAAAAATACACCATGCAATATTATTTTTATTATTATAAATTGTTTTACAATGTATAAAAATTCACAACTGTTGGTTGCTTTAAGTGGAATACCGAAGCTACCTTTATCAATGACAGGAATACTTAAACATATAGAAATTAAAGTTCAAACACAACATTAAGTCTCCAGAACCCATTGCCAGAAATAATAAATTGTGTGCATTTAAAAGTTAAAATCAGTCAGTTTAGTTCTTTGACATTTACTGAACAAGCAGAACGTAATATGTGTGTTTTTTTCTGACAAACTCTATTTGTTCGATTTGTTAGGCATGGACACATTTAGAAATCCATGCCTGTAACACATTCTAATAGAATATTATGCAGATTTGGACTCATCTCTGACCAATATGTGCTGAATTTGATGACAAATGTCATGCAATGTCATCCTCTATGCAAAATGGCAACAAAATTAAAGACTGCTGGCATCTAGATTTGTTTTTGTAAAAAGATTCATAAAAGAGTCAAAATAAATCTGTGTTTGAAAGCCAATGATAGACAGTACTAAATGCGCACCATATGTCAGCTCTTAAGCAGTTTTGGATTATAAACTAAATTACTACTAAATGCCTCTCTTGATTTAAAAAATAAGTCACATAGGCTCAGGATTCTCTTCCTAGAAGATTAATGTCTCTTCACTCTACCTCTCCATGAACCTAAATAACAACAGTTGAAAAAGCTGGAATCTGTAATGGTATGAGGTTTCATTAAAAGTCCGTTTGTAGAAGATCAGTCCAGTATCAGACCAGGACACTTCTTACTGATGTAAGAAGTCTTACATCAGTAAGAAGTGTCCTCAGTCTACCTACCAATCTAGAAATGAAAATTTTACTTAATAAATTTACTTAGTTCTATCTCGGATATGCGTATCACTTTAATGGCATATATGATATTATTTGATTTAATGAATTATTAACAGAATTGTGTGGCGCTTTGGCCTAGAGCAATGTTGTTACCTTGTAGTGGACTCACCACCTGCAGGAAGGTTCAGGGGGTTGGTACGATGCAGTGTGATTTGGGTGGCGACAGCTGCCGCGACCCGGTAACGGATAAGCGGATGAAAATGGATGGATGGATAGATGGATAACAGAATTGTCTAAGTACAAAATGAACCTTTTCTACCTGTGGTCGAATGGCGACATCTACTGTCAATATTTTTTAGGTACAGTTTAACCCAATTTAAGTATTATTATAACACATTCGAAATGTAGATAAAAAATGTAGAACAAAGAAAGAAAATAAATAAATAAAGATATGCTGTAAATTTAAATCATTTTTTAAAATATTTATTGGATATTCTGTCAAGCTAAGGCTCAATAAATATATATAAAACACGTTTACACGAATGTCTTCAATAGTCTTATACCGATGCCAAATAACACATTTTATTCACGTAAAGCATAGATTCAATATGGACTCTCATTTTACAATGGTTAATTCATACGTAACATCCATTGTGAATCCCTCAACTACATGAAACGTTTTATGAAAAGAATATTTTTATTGTCGTGGGATTTATTGGAGGTGTGGTTTACGTCTCCTACATCCGGGCATTTCTACTTTGCCACTCGTTTTATATGACAACATGTAACAAATAACATAACAGCTAGCCACAATGTAGCATTTTAATGTAAATGATAAACATTTAACACAAAATACATTATTGATGAATGGATAGCATTTTAATAATATTGTGTGTTTACATTCAGGCATCATTAAACAGCAGCGGCAGTGGGCCGTGGTCGCAGGTCGCATCGGGCCGTCAGGGGGCAGCAGCTCAGAATCCATTGTGTCTCTCTGTACATGAACCTTTGGGAACTAACAATTAAACACATATTTCAGTTAATAACCATTGTGACAAAACTTTATCCACGGAAATAATTAAATAAATTATATATATTCATGAATGTATATACGAGAGACACAAGTGTTGTGTCAGATTACATCACTAAAGATTACAATAATTATATGTAATTAAAATACGGCAACAATCTCTCTATTTTTTTTTTTTATTTATTTTAAATAATTTGTTAATAAATAACTATGTTTCCCACATCAGACTTTATGACCGGTACATGAACAACATGTCATATCTATAACAAAAACACATTTTTAACATGTTTATTTTATTTAATGTAGAAGTTGGAATTTAATTAATTTTTTCTTCTGATATGTCATCTAAGCACACACTGGCTAAAAATGGTTAGCTTGGATTAGCTGATAGCTGTATCAGCTACAGACGATTCTGAGCTCGTTTGTTTTCTGTTTATCTATTGATTGAGACTTATTATATATTATATACTTATTATTTTCCCCTGATGCTTCAGTGGCATTAGGTCACCACACTGTCTGTCCACGGAGTCCACGGTCACTACAGCCACCTTAAATGCTAATCTGTCAACGATGGTGTGATTTAAAGCTGTCATTGTCAAAATAACAATAGTCAGAGAAATTCATGTTTTCTTAAATTCTTAATTATTTTTTTTTTAATTTCCAGAGTTGATTATGACATTTATCTAAAAAACAAGTAGAAACACTAAAACTTGAAGGGTCTTCCTTGGACTGTTTTGGCAGATAGAGTCTCACTCTACATTGCTAAATTTCTATTGTGTAGCAGTTAGCATGCCTGCCTTTGAAGCGGAGAGTCCTTGGTTTGTCTCCCAGAGGGACCACCAATATCACTAATCTGCTAAAGGCGTAAATATACTTCAACTCTTTTGGTACCATTTACCTTTACTTACAATAGTTGTATCCTTGTGTGACAACCACACTCATCTGCACCATCCACCTCTAAAAAGCTGCTCTGTCTGGGTTACTGTTCTGTTGTATGTTGTGTTTAACTTGGCTAATATTAGACATTGTCGTTATACACATTTTACTAGCAACAAAAAGACAAAATAAAAAGATAAAAAAGTATCATTACCTCTTATTCACTTATATTCTATAGATCGTCTTCCATTTCGTGGCTGCAAACATAAACCAATTTCATGAATTTAATATTGATATTTCATGTTTTTATCCAGAGGGTTGTTGTTATAAATTATAATAAAGAAACTGTTCATACCCGATACAGGAAGTAGCCCCTGCTCTGAATGCCAGCTGGTCCCTGGAGTTCAGCCTGCGTAAACATACAGCTCATTTGTTGTTGTATCTAACACATGTGAGTGCATTTGCATACGCAAATAATTATTTGCAACGTGGTGTTCTAATATAAACAACTTTCTGAAATGTCTCACTCATATTTACGCCCACTCTGTGAATGTCAGTGCTTAATAGCATTGGGAGATAATTTCACCCATGTGTGCTTCTTACTCACCTCTACTGCACTAATTTTAGTATCGTAATTATTGGCAGTGTGTGGATCAACAAAGCGAATGTAGCACATACACACACATATTTCAATGTACCGGATGTACACACACGCAATGCTCTAGTTTCACGTCAAGTCTTGTTTTCCTAAGTGGAAAGAACAGTGGTTCTGCTGTGTAGCGCTTATCATGCACACTCATGCGCATCTGCAATACCCGCAGATGGTCCTGGGTTCGAGCCCCGGAGGATCCACATACTCAATGGCGCCCCCATGTGTTGCAGACTGTTAGTTTGTTATATGTTATAACTATCTATGGACCTGTATATATACTGTGTGTGTGTATATATATGTAATATATATACACACACACATATATACATATACACATGTATAAAGGTTTATAGATAGTTATAACACATTGTGTATCTAATGAAATGAAAATAAATACAAATACATACACACACACACACAGCCACAAAAACAAAACACACACAATATGGAGTTGTCATGGAAAAGAGTGAAATTGTGTTTTTCTCAAGGGAGCCATAAAACAACATGGAATGTTACATGTTCAACATAATACAATGGTTCTTCATAGAAACCATGTTTTCACTGCACACACACGTTGCCTGTGTTTTGATAAACACACAATCGTTCTGCATTATTTAGCATTGCAAGATCATAATATAGAAGCAGAAGAACAATAGATGTGGGATTCATTGGAGAAATATGTTTACTTGTTTCAAGAAAATATCCTGTTGGGATGTGCTACACATTTGTAGTTTATGTGTACCATTTGTAAAAGGTACGTGTCTAAATAAGCTAATGTAGACTAATTATGTAAGAAAAAGAAACTCTTACTCTTTTACTTTTTTCTTGCACCTTCAGCTCCTGGGGAGACAAGAAAGGATCATTCATCTGCCGTTGACTTTTAATGTTAGATGTGACTAAATGTTCCTCAAAATATTCCTGGGTACCTTTGATTTTTGAACCAGCATCATGACACAGAGTTCGCCTAAGAAATCAGACGGCTGGGGGGAAAATAAACAATGTTTCACTGGTAGCAAAGTTTTAGATTTTTATTTATTTATTTATTTATTTTGGGCTCAAGTACTAATTAATAGTCTTGACACACTCACCCAATACTTCAGGTCTGCAGAGAGGTAGGATGAGCACACAACCTCAATCTGTAGAGTATCATAACAAAGGGTCAAAGAAACAAAGAAAGAACGAACCAAAGAAAGTATTCTGTATATACCTGGCTGTGTGGCTGCCCCTGGTCTGTTGTGATTTGCTGAAGTTCTGCTGGAGCACCTGTTCGTGAAAAACATATGTAATTACATGAAGCTGAAACAATATGTTTAAAAAAAATAAAATAATTAAACACATGCACTTGCAGCAGAACGCTCTGATGATGAAAAAGCTGCTCATACAGTACATAACGGTTTAGTTGATGGTCTGCTTTGGCATGATTGCGGTGGAGGTCCATTAACAGGAGTAAAAGCCTTGCTATATAACACAGTGTAAATGATGTTGTTCGGGTTAACGTGATTGTATGGATTAACTCAGCAGAACACAGAGCATTCACCATTGAACACACTGTGACACAGTTGGATTACGGTCGACGACTTGACTATCAATGGTTGACTGTTGAGCCAAGGAAGGATGGATGATGGATGGATGGATTAATGGATGGATGGATGGATGGATGGATGGATGAATTCATGGATACACAGATAGATTATATATATATATGTAATGTAAAACCTTAAATTGTCCAAAACCAAAACCTGAACATTTCTTGAATGACATATTAACGTATCAATCTTTCACATAATATTACATCCAACTCCATTAACACAACAGAGTGAATTCTTAGTATAAAACATTATTGTTTTAGATGAATTTTGCTTTTTAAAAAATCAGGTGAAATTTTGTTAGAATTAATTAAAAGTTTCACAACTTAAAAAGTAAAAAAAAAACAAACAACCAATTATACTAGACAACTTAATTCCTCTCACTCACTTTTGCAGACACTGATGGCGAGGATCAGCAAGGCGGCCAAGGTGATGCTGCCCGTGCTGACTGGACTCATGACTGTGGCGGTGCTCAGGTTGTGCAGGTTGCTGGAGGCTCCGCGGTGCACAGGATGACTTTGGTTCTTGAAAGTCCTCATCTCTCCCTCTGTCTCTCTCTCACTCTACACTCTACTCTCTCTCTCCCTTTCTCTCTCTCTCCGTTTCCCTCTCAGTGGTGCTTCCTCTGTCTATTCTAACCCTTTTTTATTAGTTTAATGTTAGTAGTCTTCTTTGTTTTCCCTTCTCTGTCACGTGACTCCTTGCTCTAAGAGTTTCTTCTTCAAGTCAGTAAAATATAAAGGCTCACACAAATCCACACCAACCCACACGCGCACACACGCACACTCAACACACCGTATACACTGACACATGACTGCGTCATAGAAAGATGGAAAATGAAATCAACAGGTTGTACGTTATGGTGAGCGTAATGTGAAATCTCCCAGTTGATGTCCTCATCTTTGTGCCACTGTTGCCCTGCAGTTCAGTGGATTCAGTACATGCTGTTCACTGTTGTGTAGTTTAGACTCTAACAGTTGTCGGCTCCCTCATTTCGATGGACTGTTATTATTCCTCAGAGGTTAACAGACAGATAGTTAGATGTATCCTGGTTCACAGTTGAAAACAAAAAGGAATCAAACATGTGTGCATAGATTAGATTAGAAGTTAAACCAAGGTTGAGCCTTTTTCATACGATTCGTGGAGAATTAGTCAGCGACAGATCACAAAAAAAAGATCCATTGAGAAAAGATATGAATGCATTTTCCCAAGACTGATTAAATAAAATGGGGAAGTGTTATTTATTATTATTATTCTAGATACGTACAGCTGTTACAGCAGGTTCAAAAACAGGATTTTTTTTCAGGGTGTATTTTGAAAAAAAAAAAGTATTATTAAAAAACAAAAGACAATACTCTGTTTAAATTTCACACCTATTTGTTTATTTAACTATTCCAAAAGTGAATAAGAAAGCATGCGTAATACAAAGCAGGATAATAAATATACTAACTCCTTTGAAGTCACACTCCACTGAAGTCATTCTGGTCCTTTAAACAACTATGTTTTAAAGCATTGTTTATCAAAGACTGGGTCGCGACCCTTAGATGACCGCAAGAGTTTTTTTTTTTTGGGTCGTTTTAGCATCATGTTTCCCAGAAGTTTACGAATAATGTCTATTGACTTGGGTCGCAAAGGTTTGTGACTTTTAAAATATGTGTCCCCAGAAAATAAGTTTGGGAAACACTGGTTTAAAGGACCATAACAGACGGCATTAAAGTCTTAACAGTGGCCGTCGATAGCCAAGTACAGCACGGGCATTGTCATAAAGAATTTTTTGCAAATTTTTGTGCCTTCAATTCTTATGTGTATTTCAGATTAAATGACATCACTCTGGCCTTCAGTGATTGGAAAGCTCTGGAGAAACCACCACCTGGTTTCTCTTTCTGGAGAACTCTTGAAATGTCATGACCTTTGACGGTGTTTCTTCTGTTATGAAGTTGACTGAGCTGCTCCAGTCGGGTTTGGAGTCACGACCCTGAGGTGTTGAGTGAAGGTCACTAAAGTTACTGTGATTCATACAGTGTTATACACCATGCCCCAGATGTGACGAAAACACAAAGCACTACACAACACATTAGTCATAGCACAAAGGTTCTCAACCTTCGGGCCGTGGACGGGATCATTGGATACACAAACAGAAAGAAAAAAAAAATTGGATTTTATGAAGTATTCTTGCTAAATATATTTTATTTTGAATTTCAGAAGAGTATTGTACTAGATCCTAATAGTACAGCGTAGGTTTAGATTTTTAAAAAGCAGTAAGGTGTACAGGTAAAGGGAATCTCTTAAGCTGGAATGTACAAAAATGTTTTCCAAAAGGCTTTAATGACAGGCTCTGGTCTTAGAATTGTGATTTGATGTCTCAGATCCACATCAATTGCTTAAGATACTGTGAAGTCTTGTACCTTTTTGTTCAACAGCACTATCATGCGCTATGTAAATGCATTTGAAATTGTAGAATGACAGCAATAAAGTAAGACTGTAGAGGGAGACACAGAGCAAAAAACAAAGTGGTGTAATTTTCCGGTCCGTTTCCTCTTATGTCATGTACTCCACCGTTTCAAGTGACAGCTAACATTAATAAACTTTGCTGTAAGGTCCCTGGACAGACGTTTACCGATGGTGTCTCACACACTTGGTGTCTGTTTTACCACTAAGAATCTTATTGTGTTTTACAAAGGCAATGGTTCACTTCATAAAATAAATCCCAGATCAGTCAAGGCCAACCCTTCGTCTTTTGAAGTATGATCTTTCCTCTGTTTATTCTCGACGCTATGAAACTGTTTATTCATTTATTTAACTCTTTTATGATTCACTTACTTACATTATTCCCTTTAACGAACTGCCATCTGTTAGGGTTTATATAATGTTGCAATATATATATATATAGATGTATAAATCTATATATATATTGTTTATGAAGATACGTATATAATATAAATTTGCTTTCCAATGATGTAAGCAGTCACAAGCAGTCACACAAATATCAATATCAATATTAATGGTTTCCCCAGAATGGATCTTTTTCTCAGCAGGATGTTGAGTTTTTCAAACAATGTCCTGTTTTCCATTGACCTGTAGATTTTAATTTTTTCTTGATGCTCATTTTTGGATAATACTCTCAACATCTGTACCCTCTGTACAATCCTCAGCTAACCCTACCTTGACACAAACAAACAGGAAAGCACTCTTGCCTGTGCACATACAGTATACGCACTCTTTAATAGCATGATTGCTTTAAAACAAAACACACACATGGGCAACCTTCCTAACAAGCAGAGAGCTCTACGTGGACCATTGCGCACATAATAGCAGCTCTCATGCTTACCTCAGTTGAAAAATCGACTTTAGGTGTAATTTGGTGAAGTTCTTACCTGAGGATGAGGTTACCAAAGTAGAAAAAATGTTTGATGAAGTTTCCATGATGGATTTAGCTCCTGATTATGTGTAATGGTCCTTTTTTTGTGTATTTTCCTGTTTGGAGGGATAACAATGGACAGAATATCATAAAAGAAACACCTCTTGATTTTATACTGAACAAGCACTAAATTATATTTTACTGCTCTGATTTGCACGTCAAAAATAAAAAATGGAAAATGTGTCAGTTTCCCCTGTGTTTATTCAGATCATTTTGTTTATGCTATAACAATGATGACTTCAAAACAACACTGATGATGCCTTCTTCAAGCCTGTTAAATGCTACTCAAAATGCCATCCAGATAGCGCCACAAAAATCTCTGTTTCCAAACATTAATAGAAAATGTTATCGGCCTTTAATCACCTTTGTGAATGTCAGTTGTAGATTGCACAGATGTAATCATCTTCCCCTGATGATGCGGCGCTGCTGTGTAAAGCCCACGTCACATCTGCATGTCCTCCTGTGCGTGTCCCTGGGACATCCTCATCAGTACGGTGACCTTCTGACACGACACTTTCAATTTGTAGAATCACCTTTCACCTGAGAACTTCACTGCATTCGGTCTGGGATTTATTTGTGTTTCACAGTGTTGCCTTTAGTAGACGCAGCAATCCAGCCTGGTGGATGTTTGTGATGTTGTACCAACGTCAGTGTGGGGAAACATCAATGTCGACAAGGGATATAGAGCGTTTGACATTCACAAAGTATGAGAGCCATAATCTGTGGGTGAATCATTAGGGAGCTCAGTGGGCTAAAGGAGAAATTCTGAACAGATTATTAATATGTGTGATATCACAAACATTGCTGTGCTGCAGATGTTAGTCCAAACGAAGAAAGCAAATAACCATTTCTCAAGTGTTTCAAGTGTTTTACCCGAAAGACGAAATCTTCCTTTAGTTACTCTCTTAAGGTAATTACAGAATTAAAAATAAAGATATTTGTTTCTAATTTTAAAAAATTAATCATGTTTCTGGTGTTTGCATGTCAAAGTCCTAAAGATGTACTTTGCTCATATATTATTGTTATTACTATTATTATTAATATTATATCTTAGACATATATTCTAATTTATAAGCATAATATCTAAAATTGCATGTAAGAGTATATTTAATTGAAAAAGCACATTCTTCTTGTCTTAAAATCACATACATTCTGTTACAATTTTTGTCGAATTTCGTCAGCCTAGTTAGTTGTTTTATGTTTAAATCATATATGATTTTAACACGAATAAGAAACACATAAACAGTCTAAAAGAAAAAATAACACACTATTTGCAGAATTAGAAGGTTTTCTATCGCCATCTAGTGTTCTGGTAAGTTCGTGCGTAGAGAACAGTACAGTACAAATGCACATTGAGCAAACCATTGATTTAACAATTGCAGACGATTGTTAGAGGTTTTTTTTATTTTAGTGTAGTTTATAAAGTAGAAGCATATATCCTAAAACTATGAAGAGCAGCAACTATCTTTACATTGCCTTATTTTCTATTTATAAATATGAGAATAATTGAGTGATACGGATAGTACTACCTTATCAGTGTTATTCTTTTTAGAGAAGCCAAATATGCTGAATCAAACATTAACTACTCCCCGTGTGAGGGTGTTTTGCTCAACATGTTTAATTGACAATAGTGGGTTTGGGTCTTTTAATGTGCGACATTATAGGACGGTTTGCGAAGCATGTTGCGTGCCTGCGTCACTGTCACGTGCGTGTACGTCAAAACTCGGAAGTGAGAGGGCGGTGTTTTGGTTAGGGCTGTTGTTGGGTTTACGAACCAAGGTAAGTGTATTTTATATATATCACAACGTAAATAAACTACTTTAGTAAATACTGCTGATGTTACTTTTTACTTAGAACAGAAATGCATGAATGCTGTCGTAGTATGCAATGTCTTTTTTTACGTGGTTTTCCCCACACAATGGAAATATGCTAACATCAACGTTAGCAGTCAGTGGGCTACAGGCAAAAAAATGATTTTATTTCTCTTAAATGAGATACCACTGTTTTTTTATCACGCTTAGTTTTTTAATGTGTCAACAATTTAAGTAGCGTTAACCATATCTTCTTCGCAGGAGATATGCTTCACGGCTCAACATGCAAAAATGACGTTCATGTTTTCAGAACTCAGAGGTTGACCGCTTTTAGTCTCCTGTCTTTCAAAGACATGTTGTATGCTTTCTGGACGGAAGAAGCTTTAATTTACTAAAAAATTAGAAAATACTATTTACACATGTAATATTTAAGAAAATGAGATTTGTTTAATCATAATTAATCATACCTAAAGCTCAGTTCTTAATGACACTTTTACATGTATTATTTTGTATGAACATTGTGTATTTGTTTTTGAACTGTATTGCAGTGTCCACCATGACAGCCATCAAGCACGCTCTCCAGAGAGACATCTTCACTCCCAACGATGAGCGGCTTCTTGGCATCGTCAATGTCTGCAAGGCAGGAAAGAAAAAGAAGAACTGCTTCCTGTGTGCAACAGGTAAGGACCACAGGATAATATTTATAATACAATATTTAAATTGTTTGATAAATATTGTGTCTGTTACCTCTAGTCACCACGGAGAAGCCTGTCCAAGTTAAAGTCGTGAAGGTAAAAAAGTCAGACAAAGGTGACTTTTACAAGCGACAACAGACTTGGGAGCTTCGAGATCTGACTGAAGTAGATGCCAAAGATGCAAGCAAGGTCAGAGGGTTTATTAATTGTTTTTTTATACATCTACAGTTTATAGCTGTACATTTTTGTTTTCCCCAATAAAATATAAATTATTTTTTTCATTTAGGAAAATCCTGAGTTTGACCTTCATTTTGAGAAAGTATACAAATGGGTGGCAAGTAGCACGGCTGAAAAAAACTCCTTCATTTCCTGCATCTGGAAGCTGAACCAGCGTTATCTGAGGAAGAAGTTGGAGTTTGTGAATGTCAGCTCTCAGTTACTAGAAGGTGGGATGACTCTGTTTTTATCCACCCCTGTTAAGATGTGTTTTTTTAATGATTTAATGAGATTTTACCTTTTTTATTTTACACCTAAGGTCAACACTAATGATTTAAGGTGCCGAGTTTAGACATTAGGACTTTGGCTGGCTTTTCGTTGGCTGATCTTTTTTTATTAATAGCATGTATGGATATGATGTCTTTATGTCCTGGTTTGTGGTATGTTTTTTCTGTGTTAAATTCTCCTCTATTCTCACTTTTTTCTCTTAACTTTCTCTGGCAAGAACTTCCTAAAGCGGAAGGTTGGTAGGACTTAACTTCCCCCCTCTCCTCACCCCCCTCCATCATTTGTTCATGATCACAAGTTCCACCACTTCCATCAGAGGCTCTCATCCTTTTAAAGCTTCTGCTGATTTAATCAGTCAGGAACAGAAATTACATTTTTTCATTTTAAGTAAATTAAATAACATACATTTAAGTCCTTTTTAATTGCCTGTAACATATGATCATCATATTATCACAGATGTTCATTAATCACGCTATAATACACCCTGCGCATTTAGCTCATGGTTTTCTAATTCACTTAGAGCAAAGGAGATTTGTTTTTAGGCTGCATTTGGTTTTTCAGTGTGCTCAATTCCTCAGGTAGGAAAAACATCAAGCAGATGAAGGTCATAAAACATTACTTCCTCAAAATTGGTTTTAGTCTTAGTCTGAAATTTTGAGACGATGATTGGTAATGTTTTATGTACTGTATATTTGAATATAAACAACCTTAAAGCTCAAGCTTCAAATATATTAAAACTACTTTAAAAATTTAATGAATTGAATTGAATTCTTACAAATGTTTTTTCAGAGAGACTATAAAACCAATGAGGTAGGAGGTCATCTCTGTTATTATTTCTTGTTCAAATATTTTATTCCACTATCCTGTTTCAGAGTCAGTTCCGAGCGGTGAAAGCCAAAGTGTTGCAGGAGGGGATGAAGATGCTTTGGATGACTACCAGGAGTTGAGTGCTCGTGAGGAGCAGGACATCGAGGGCATGATGGTGTCTTGTGAATATGCTATCTCCAATGCTGAGGCTTTTGCAGAGAAGCTCTCAAAGGAACTTCAGGTTTTAGATGGGGTGTGTAGACGTAGCTACTGAGTGACCTTGTTTTTGAAGATTTTTTTTTTAGTTTATAAATTCAGATTAACTTCATACAGTTACAAACAAATGCCATGTTTATTGTTTTTCTGCTTTTAGGCCAACATACAGTCCATCATGGCATCAGAGAAGCAGGTCAATATCCTGATGCAGCTGCTGGATGAGGCTCTGTCGGAGGTGGACACCATTGAGGGGAAGCTGAGCAGCTACGAGGAGATGCTTCAGAGTGTCAAGGAGCAGATGGACCAAATCTCACAGAGCAATCTCCTCATACAGATCAGCAACACCAACAACAGCAAGCTGCTGGATGAAATTCAGTTCCTAGTGGTTAGAATTACCTTTCAACCTAAAAGAAAATTGATTTTTGTCTCTATTGGCGTAATGAAAATGTTGAAATAGAAAAGAAGTTCCTTACATGTTTTATCCTGTTGAGTTCTTACTTGGAATCTTAAATACACAACTTACATACATAGCTGCTGAAATGTCTAAATTAACTCCAGTGCATCTTTTCTCCTTCAGAACAACTTGGACTTGTCCAAAGGTCACATTAGGGCCTTACAGGAAGGTGACCTGATGTCTCCCAAAGGCATCGAGGCCTGCATCAATGCCTCTGAAGCTCTTCTGCAGTGCATGAACGTGGCATTGAGACCAGGTTGGTTCATGTGACCCAGCAAATTACTAATTGTTGGAAGATGTCACATTTAGTAACAATTCCTGTTTGGACAAAGGTCATGACAAGCTTTTGGCAGTGAAGCAGCAGCAGCTCCTTTTTGCTGAGCTGAGAGACACATTTGCTCGCCGTCTTACCAATCATCTCAACAATGTCTTTGTCCACCAGGTAACACACAAACAACACTGTTACAAGATGTACACAAATGTTTGAATTAAAATGAAGAAATGTTCTGTTTTGTCCAAATTTGAGGCACCTTGATACTCAAGCAGAATAATTGAGACATAGTTGCAGAATATTGAAGAGACATACTTTTGCTTTTCAATGGTATTGTACTCTTATTTATTCCAGTATGGACTACGGGGACACCTAATACCTTCAAAATAGGTTTCTGTCCTCCCTCTTTCTTCCCCCCTCCCTTTCCCTCTCGCCGTCTCTCTGTGTTTCTTG